TAAATAGATAGATAGATAGATAAATAGATAGATAGATAAATAGAGTTCAAGGATAAGATTTCAAAATATGTGTGTAGAAACTTGTTCTCGATATTTTTGCATAATAAAATCGTTTCATTTACCTGCAGCTGTCGTCCTTCTCTTAGTAGTGTTGCTTTAACTGGTCCTTCATGTGTTTCTCCAAATCCTGGAATTGGAGAGTTTAGTTTATTGTGAAGTAGGAAGACGACATTAAAGAAATAATAAAGTGTATTGTAACTTGTTAAATCACTTATTAAGTGAAATAAGTCTGTTTCTATTGAACAATTGCAGTGTCTCATGCATTGGACTATTTAAAGTCAGTTGAGTCAAAAAATCGTCTTCTCACTGTATCATAAAATCTTTTGTTAAATTCCATTTTTAAAAGAACTTGATATAATTTTAAGTAAAACGTTTTTTAACGAGTTACTTTTACTTTACCACCGTACAGCTTTAAACCTGGAAACGAGCAAAAATTATGAAGATATCCATGCTTTTTAAAATCAAAGATTCGGTAATTGTTAGCAGTTTCTCATTGACTTCCATAAAATATTGTCTTTGATTATAAATAGATATTAAAATGGCAAAGTTTGTATTGAAAAGACAATAATTTAAGAAAATTTTGGTTTTATTTTAGTTGATTAGTAAATTAATAACAACACAGATATAACACTAGATGTCGTCTTTTAAAAAAATTAGGGGTTTTTCGTTCACAATAACCCCAGAAGCCCAAAGGAGTTTTGTGCATGCAGTGCATTCTCTCTGACTTGTAATTGGGCTTTGGGCTTCTGCCTGAGGGTTATTGTGAACGAACAACCCCTAAATCTTGAAAAGACGACATCTAGTGTTCTATTTGTGTTGATTAATGAAAGATTACCCTGTGCTTGATTCACCAGACCATCTAGCTTATTACACTCAGTGTAGGAGAGAAGACTGAACACCTAAACATTCATTAATCATTCATTATTCATTATTCATTATTTACTATTTATTATTCATCATTCATTATTCAGTATTCATTATTTATCCATCCTTCTTTTATTCATTATTTATCATTCAGTTATCCTTTCATCCTAAATCTGTTTATCCCTTTATTCTTTTGAAATATCCATCCTTTAATATTCATCCTTCTTCTATTAATCCTTCATTGTTCAATATTAATTCATTATTCATTCATTAGTTTTCATTCATCCTATTCTCACATTTATCCTTTTATGCATTTATCATTCATCGTTTATACACGAGTAACAAGAGTAACAAGAGTACAAGAGTAACAAGAGTAACAAGAGTAACAAGAGTAACAAGAGTAACAAGAGTAACAAGAGTAACAAGAGTAACAAGAGTAACAAGAGTAACAAGAGTAAAAAAGTAACAAGAGTAGCAAAATTAACAAGAGTAACAAGTGTAACAACTTGACAAAAGTAACAAGAGTAACAAGATTAACAAGAGTAACACGAGTAACAAAAGTAAAAAAGTAACAAGAGTAGCAAAATTAACAAGAGTAACAAGCCTAACAACTTGACAAAAGTAACAAGAGTAACAAGATTAACAAGAGCAACACGAGTAACAAGAGTAACAAGTGTAACATGAGTAACTAGTGTAACAAGAGTAGCAAGTGTGACAAGAGTAACAAGAGTTTGTATTCTATATATTTCTTCGTGTCAAGTTTTAGTACACTGGTTTCCGGTTTAATAATTTTGAAAGAGCGTTCTTAAGAGGATAATTTGCTGGATTTTGTGGAACCGTTCCACCCCTTCATACCCTTTCTCAACCAGCAACCTTGCATGTGTTTTGTGTATTATATACGGGGTGTCCCACTAACATTATAATTTAAAGACGGCCAAGTTTAATATCAAGTATGTATGAAGTGTCCCAATAAACATTCCTCATTCCAACGTTTTTTTTGGGGCACCCCATAGTTCAGATGGAGATACCGAAATTAAAACTTCTTGGAATAAAAATCTTTTATTTTTAAAGATTCAAATATTTATTTACAAGGAATGTATATTCAATATCAAAGTTGGTCGTTAGTTAGTTAGTTAGGTTGTTAGTGGACTACATTTACAAGCTGGAAGAGAATCATATATTAAGGAAATGGCGACTTATTCTGAAATATGATTAAAAATTAGTTATCAAAGGAATTAAGAGAATTTTTTCAAATTTTTAAGATTTATCAGCCCTTTGTTTTTTCTTTTCTATTTAATACTTTTAACGTTTACATTTCCCCCTAATTGAACCTTGTGACGTGTGTCATGAGTTTTTAAAATGTTTTAAAAAAATAGAAAAATCAGAAATGCATTTATTTCAAATCGTTCAACAGCTATTAACATCAAACATTTTCCTTCCTACTTCGTGCAAACCAAAATCGGAAATTTGGAACTATGTAATTTGAAAAGGAATTATGTAATTTGAAAAGTAACTATGTAATTTGAAAAGGAACTATGTAATTTGAAAAGGAACTATGTAATTTGAAAAGGAACTATGTAATTTGAAATAATAAAAACGCATAACATATTAATGTAAAGTAGTAATTTCTGCATGGGGTATTTGTTTGTATTTGTATGTATTTTCGAGCATATTTCATGACCGATTTTCCTCAAATTTCAATTAGGATAAAAAAGTTTAGTAAGTTGTGTTACCAAGCTATCTATAGTATCTCATGAATAGCTGTGTTACCAAGCTAGCTATAGTATCTCATGAATTGCTGTGTTACCAAGCTAGCTATAGTATCTCATAAATATCTGTGTTACCAAGCTAGCTATAGTATCTCATAAATAGCTGTGTTACAGAGCTAGATCAATAAGTCTGATTGGGTTGGATTTAATCTAACAAATTGGTTTCAAGGATTTGTTCAATTTTTTTATTCTTAATTGATAAGATTCAGAATTTTCCTCAAATCAATCTGAAAACAGTAATTCCTTTTATAAAGAATTTAAATTTTGTTTACGCTATTTTAAAAAAGAATTCTGATTCATAAAAAAGACCAACTTATTGTTATTTGTTTTGAATACATGTTATTGCTGAGTAAATGCACATATTTGGGTGACCACCCCATGGAATGACAAAACATTAAAGGAGGGCTATAAAATATTTTACAATGGGACCCGCGTCCCACAGTATAATACAGGCGGGCAAAAATAAACAACACATAAACTTCGCGGAAACATCTTACATTTTTTTTATTGCTTTTAAGTTTTACAAAATATATGCTTTTGGCAACACATCTGATAATATGGTTTTTCAATTTTTCAAGATATTTTAGCGCTAATTTGAAATTAAAGTTTAGATGTTTAAAACTACAGAAAATATACAATTTTTTTCAAGGACACATAAAAATTTGGGCTTAAAAACGGGCACAAACTTTACAAAAAAGTTAAAATAAGGTTGACATTAATGGTAAATATGAGAATTAACATAGTAAAATAAAAAATGAATGAAAATAGATATGTTTAAAAGGATTTGAGATGATGAAGAATAAAATAAATAAATAAATAGATAAACTGACTAGACTGCGTGTTCCAAACTGTCATAACTGATTAATATTCGATTAAAACATATTTAGAATTTGACCCATTGACCCCGATTAGATTAATCATCTACTTAATCTCTGATCTCTGGTCTCGGATCCAGGAATCATTAATTTAACTTCCGACTCATCGTTTTTATCAACGTATTGTTTAGCACAGTTTTTAATACTTTTTTTAACATTTAAGTTTTTACGCTTTTTAAGGGATCCTCGATCATAGTATGGGAGAGGAGATTTTTTATTCGATCGTTTACATCAAGGTTGTAATGCAAGGAAAGTTAATTGCTGTCGCATATACTCTGCGTACATATTGAAACCAGTTCTCTTTGGGCGGAATTTGTAAACAAGAATATGCATCAGTGTTCGTTTAGTATCCGAGGAGGTTCAAAACATTAAATTTTGATAATTTGATAATTCACATAATCTAGTTTCCTATGACCAGAATATTTCATTGATTTTGTTATGTGAAAGATGGATCCCATGGCAGGCTTCGATTCTTTATTCTGAGTACGTCTGGGTTAAAGTAGTAAGCTGCAAGGTACGTACTAATGCAAGGAAAGTTATTTCAGAGGTGTACGCATTTTTTGTGCTGCTGTGTACTGTCTTTGGGCGGTAAAGTAAACACAAGCCTGACATGGAATCAATTTTTACACAAAAATAATCTATGAAATATTCTGGTCATAGGAAACTATTATGTAAATTTTCAAAATTAAATGCTTTTAACCTCCTCGGATACTAAACGAACAATGATTCATCTATTCTTGTTTACAAATTCCGCCCAGAGAGAACTGGTTTCAATATTTACGCAGAGTATACGCGACCGCAATTTACTTTCCTCGCATTAGTACATTGGTAAGCTGTAAGTTCTGGTTCATTTATTGTACTGCAATATTTACGTACAATATACAAACAAAAACGAAACAGTAAATCAAATAAATCATTCTCTTCTAGTGAGATTTAAACGTAGCCCCCCACTTCCCCCTCAGTTTAATTATATATAAGGGAGGGGTAGGGGGGGGGATTCTTTATAGAAAATATAATTAGTATTAAAGCTTGCATTTCGTAGACATGTTTACGATATAATGTTGATATTAAAATGTTTATGTTTGATATTCTGCAAAAATGCTAATTCTTCAATTACATTCAAGATTGCGGTCCTGATATGTGTATTGTTATATACTCTTTTCAGAATACTAATACAGGGTGTTTTACTTTAAATGTTCAAAATTTCGCGGAAAAAGTGTATTTTTTGGTGGTTCATTTTTGGGGACGCCCAGTAAGGTTAAGCACCAAGTAGAAACGGATATTAATAGTTTAAAAATACAATTAAAATTTATCTTTACAAAAAAGGAACATTTACAAAGAAGTTAAATGGTGTGCCTGCAAGTATTAACATTTTCATATACAGGGTTACCCACAAATAATGAGCCTTCAGAGAAGACTGTTCGGAATTTACACTGTCTGTTTGTTTCCTTATATTCATGGTTTAAATTTCTTTCTTTCTTTGTTAAATCAGTAGAACACATTCAAGGCAGAAGACTTAATTTAACTTTGGGAGCGCCATATTTGAATTTTATGTCATCTTTACAATCTCATTCTTTTTGATGTTTCTAAACATTCCTCTTCCTTGTGTTTAGGATTTTATATCTAAAACACAATTTCAAGTGACTTTCCATTTGTAAAATGGCGTGCCCAACTCTGCGTCAAGAATTTTGTTGGAAAATTGATTCTTTCCAATTGTATTTTACGCGGAGTCTTGCGCATATATTCTTTTGAGAAAATAAAGAAAATCTAAACAGTTCAACTTTTTTCTCGTTATTACTCAGATTATCAGACAGAGCCTAGAGTCCAGGTAAAGGGGGGCCCGGATACAAATCTCGAAGGATTATCCACCAAGGCTGAGATTCTAATGACAACCTATTAAGCTTTGTCTGAAATATACTCTGTTATTGGAATATAAGATGATTTGGCATCAAAATAAACAACATAGCTACAGGGAAACATTAATGTATAAAAGAAGTCTAAATAGATTGTGTACAGTTGTCTCTACAGTCTCATCCTTTGTGGGTAACCCTGTAGACATCTAGCTGACTAAATAAACAAGCTAGATTTGTCATTCCTACTTATAATCACATTTCATGCATCAACAATTTTGTTTTTGTTTTCCTTAAGAATTGCATAAATTGTGCAAAATATTATTTTTTTTTACAGAAAACAAACTGAGCTGGCAACTCTTGTATTGTGGACATCAAGATCAGTTAATCTGAAGATTAATTCAATTTTTAATCTATTTTTTCAGCCAATTTTTTAATTTATAACCACGAGATTTGGGTTATTTATTTGTCATCAACCCTGAACCCGGCTCATTTCCACGTTTTATTGTTTTTATTTTTATTTCTATTTGTTTTTAAGAAAAAATTAAAGATAAAATTCTTGTAGAATTAAAGATTAAAGAGACTATTGACATGAACCATTAAGTTGTATACCCCAATTACCAATGGTACCCTTTAGACTTTTATCTAAACAAACGTGAGGAGGATATCTTCGACCAATGGTACCCTTTAGACTTTTATCTAAACAAACGTGAGGAGGATATCTTCGTTTTTCTATCTGGAAAATTGTAAAATTCTAACAATTTCCCTTGTTGTTGAAGGTTCACTTGAATTTACGCTGACAGCCTTTAAGTGTTTCTATACTATACAGTATACGTTGACAGTCCCTTTAAGTGTTTCTATACTATACAGTATACGTTGACAGTCCCTTTAAGTGTTTCTATACTATACAGTATACGTTGACAGTCCCTTTAAGTGTTTCTATACTATACGATCTGATGAATGAAGACGGGAGATTAATGAATGATTTGAATCCTTAAACATTAATTCAGGTTTTATACTTTCATCAATCATAATTATTCATTCTACTCTTCTTCATACATTAAAGCCTGAAAGAGACTATGTAAGCTTAACTCTCCATGCAAAGATGGCAATGCCCGATTCACAACGGTATCCTTGAAACCTTACTCTGATAAAAAATGTGGAAGATAACGTCGTTTTTCTGAATTAAAAAGTGTTTAATCTGAATATTTCTTGAAACTAAATGAAACTAATTAAACTAAAACATGAATATAACATGGGCACTGTTGTATAATGGATGGTCACTTAAAGTTAAGCTTACAGTCCCTTTAAGATTTGAATTTTATCTTTTTCATCCCCCTGTTGTATATTTATTCTCCCCCCCCCCCATGGGATGTTTATAAAGCTCTGCTGTTTATCAATCCCACACCCGTTGTTAATTTATTCCCTTTTGTTCATTCCCCGCCCTCATATGTTCATATATCCTCCATTTGTTCATTTGTTCCCCACATGTTCATATATCTCACCTTGTCCACCGCTGTTGTTCATAAGTCCCCCCCCCCTGCTGTTTATATAGAATATGAAGATTTTGTTACTTCGATAAACCCTTTAACCTTTGATATACTGCTTGTATATCTGTGCACTTCCTATCATTCCTTCCACTTCAAACTATAAATATATATATGGAATCTTAGAATTAGCTTAGGAAGGTATGTAATAAGGAACTTCCTTAAAATAAGTGTACTGCAACTTCTGGGAGGAATGTAAACAAAGCTTAGTCTGGACTCTGGAGCAGCAATGCATGTGTTTACATTTCTCCCAGAAACTGCGGTACAATTTAGTTTATGTGGATTTTCTATTATATTCTTTTGACTTATAGAGAAAATTCTGTTTTAATAAGTTTTTACATTTAATGTCCAGTTGGTATCTACATATCATCATGAAAAGATTTATTCTAGACTAATTTTGAAATTTTAAAATAACGATCAATTCATCAACTCAACGATCAATTGAAAAATTCTGTTTTATTCTTTTCTATATTAATATTCATTTTTCTCAATGACAAAAGTCTTAAATATTTTCCCCCACTTATAAATATGATTTTAATTGACAGTGCTGTGCAAGTCACAATGTAAGTCACTAAATATATTCACGTACCACCACAACCACAAGTAACCGCATTATCCAGCAGACACAGGAGGATTGACCCATCTTCCTTAACATCTTCTGTATATGTACCACGCGATTCTACGCGGGAACATGCTTGGTTCTACGCAGGGAGGTTCCGCGGATTTTCTTTGATTTGCCGGAGATTTGTGCGCTGGTATAGTAATGGTAATTTATGGTTGTCTGGAGGCGTGAATTTAAACTGGACGGACACAAGGAGGAACTGTAAGATATCAGATATATTTGTTGGTCTCACATCAGATATATGAACACAGTCGACCTACTCCTAAACTGTAGCACAGACATTTCTTTTATTTTGTTCGACTGAACAAACTTACAGCTCGATTCACATGAGTATCATTAAAAGCTTAGATTAAAGGTTACAAATAAATGAGATATATATAGTTTCTCCTGAAAAAATTGATTATTTTGAATTGTAATAGACTTGAAAATAGTTCAGTAGTAAAAAGCCAAGATTGAGTGGAATAGCAAACTGCAAAGTGCATGGTATATATTTAAATTATAACCATACAATCAATACGTGTTGGACCATCAACGTATATCTAAATACACACGACATTCCCCTGGGGCAAATATATTTCCAGACGACTCTTCTGATCAGATGCTTTGTGCTAACTGGTGAGTCCTGTGGAACGCTGGGGATAAGATGGCTGTCAATCTGCTTTCTCTGCCGACCATCTGATTTCTTTGTGAGCAAGATAAATGTCTTTTAACTTCTTTCTCCAGCATCCATCTTACACTAGCTGCCCTTTAACCTGCTCTTTAAACTTGCACCCTGCGGCCAGTGGGTGGTATTGTTTGGCTTTATTCTTGGATTTCATTTGTTAGGCATAAATTCTTTAACTGGGAGCAATGAACTTTTATGAAACTTTATATATAGATTTTAGAACCCTTGGTACATTTTTAGAACCCTTGGTTGTGTTCACAGTAATTTTCATAAATTTTACAAGAAGAAATTGTGAGAATTGAACACTCATGGGTTCCCATACAAAATGTCAGTCAATTCAGTTCAGTCATTTGGCCAACTATAGCTGACATATAAAAATATATACATGTAATAAATATACTGAGAATAAAGAGAATATCTGAAGGATACATACTGAGAATACAGAAAATATCAAAACGATAAAAACTGAGAATACAGAGAATATCAAAACGATATAAACTGATAATAAAGAGAGTGCAGTTGTATATGGCTTAATACAGACTAAGGTATTATTGTAGTTCTAGATCGAGTTGTATCTGTACGATACATACTTAAGAATACAGTGCTTGTATCTTGAATGATAGATACTAATGAATACAGAGGTTGTATCTTGAATGATAAATACTGACTAATACAGAGGTTGTATCTTGATTGATAGATAGTGCTGAATACAGAAGTTTATCTCGATTGATAGATACTGACGAATGCAGAGGTTGTATCTCGATTGATAGACACTGACGAATACAGAGGTTGTATCTCGATTGAAAATACTGACGAATACAGAGATTATATCTCGATTGATAGATACTTGAGATTACAGAAGATTATACCTGGATTGGTACAGACTTTAAAGAAACTATTGGAGTAAGGCATTTGCTACATACATATGAGTGAAGAGCTTTGTTATATAGATAATGTTAATTAATGATTACTGCAAAAAGACTATTTTCACGTTAATGCTTGTTTTTGATTATCATGATTATCTCTAAATGCTAGCTTTACTTGACTCCTTCAGTCATTGTATTAACAAATAAAACTAGCTATCTAAGGGCCTTTCGTAGAATTGAATAGAATTTCCTTAAAAAATAATAATTTTGACATCTCAGGAAGAAGGAAGAAAATGAGATGTAATGGGGAGAGAAAGAATATTGATAAGCATTAAAGGCAGAGGAAAAGGGGAGGAAAGAAGGGCGGAGGGCGGAAGGCGGAAGAAGTATATTACTCTACATGTTGTCCTTCTGTCCAATTTTCTATTTTAACGTGCAAAGGTGCGCTCAATTTGAAGGTCAGGTTCAGTCCATATACAAATGTCATAGTGGATATTTGGATACTTTTGGGATATTTTTGGGATATTTTGTTGGTAAACCATCCAACAACAAGAAGGCATATTTAGAGGGAGGGAAGTAAGATTTTATTTTTATCTAATGGCGCTGTGCAACAGTTTACTGTACAGTAGACTGTTTATGTGGTTTAAAAAGACGTTTATTTTGTTTAAGAAATGTGCAAATCTGGATGGTCACTGCAGGACAGTCTATAGTTGGTGGAATTCAAAAATAAGGGATTGTATAAATAATTTCAATAAGTTCTAACGATTTTAACTTTGGGATAAAGGTTTTTAACTTTGGGAGGAAGAATTTTAACTTTGGGAGGAAGGATTTTAACTTAGGGAGGAATAATTTTATCTTTAGGAGGAAGGATTTTTACTTTGGGAGGAAAGATTTTAACTTTAGGAGGAAGGATTTTTACTTTGTGAGGAAGGATCAAGAATTATAGATGTCGAATAAAAGTTAAAATTTTTGTCTATTTAACAACGAAAAAGATGTGTCAAGTGGGGGACGGGGGTGGCACTGCGTAAAAAAACATTTGAAAAGAAGGGAAAAGCAATGAGGAAGATGTCGTCGTTTTTCTGTCTTTCAAAGAGGAAAATGCTCTCAATTTACTCCCTTGTTTATGCTTCATAGATCCGCAAGCCACTTTATAATGGATCTGCGATTAAAAATAATTTATTTCTTGGTAAAAAAAAAACAAGGTTATCTCAATCCTTTTTGATCAGGCAAAGGTCTAAAGGATAGAATTGTGAATTGAACGTGCAACTCCTTTAAATTTTTCGTTTGGATAAAACTTCATCGGATGGGTTCAATCAAAGGTTGTATTTGTATACTAAAGTTGTACATTGATGCGCTCCAATGTTCGTAAAATGTCGTCTTAGCATACATTGATAGAATCAGTATATGACGTCACACTTGCCTCTATAATCAGTGATGTCCTATGCCGATTTCATCTATCTATGGAGACTACATTTCCCGTACATTGGAGAGTATCGAGAGTAAGTAACTTTATCATACAATCTTGGTTCAATTTCCCGTACATTGGAGAGTATCGAGAGTAAGTAACTTCATCATACAATCTTGGATCAATTTCCCGCACATTGGAGAGTATCGAGAGTAAGTAACTTTATCATACAATCTTGGTTCAATTTCCCGTACATTGGAGAGTATCGAGAGTAAGTAAGCTTATTATACAATCTTGGATCAATTTCCCGTACATTGGAGAGTATCGAGTGTAAGTAACTTTATCATACAATCTTGGTTCAATTTCCCGTACATCGGAGAGTATCGAGAGTAAGTAACTTTATTATACAATCTTGGTTCAATTTCCCGCACATTGGAGAGTATCGAGAGTAAGTAAGCTTATTATACAATCTTGGTTCAATTTCCCGTACATTGGAGAGTATCGAGAGTAAGTAACTTTATCATACAATCTTGGTTCAATTTCCCGTACATTAGAGCGTATCGAGAGTAAGTAAGCTTATTATACAATCTTGGTTCAATTTCCCGTACATTGGAGCGTATCGAGAGTAAGTAACTTTATCATACAATCTTGGTTCAATTTCCCGTACATTGGAGCGTATCGAGAGTAAGTAACCTTATTATACAATCTTGGATCAATTTCCCGTACATTGGAGCGTATCGAGAGTAAGTAACCTTATTACACAATCTTGGTTCCATCTATACATCAAGAATAGAATCAAAGATTTTCATTAATAAAAATAATTTGGTGAGATCAATATATAATCGCTAGACATCTATGACGCTGTAAGCCGCCGTTTATTTAAAATTCGGGGATTTTTCTTGTTTTAACGGTGAATTAAAAAAAATTTAGGAAAATACTAAAGAAATTGAGTTATTGCCAAACACAAACTCAAATTTTTTAATCACTGCATCTTCGCAACCAGATGCTGAGAACCTTTGATATTTCAAATTTAGATTATTTGATCTAACAGAATTCATAGTTTGAAATGTTTGAGGTCTACGACATTGGGTTTGAATATTGCTATTATTTAACTGACTATTTAGGTTGTAGGTTAAACAAAAAAAACACTAATTCCAAGATGCATAGTTTTTTTTCTATTTCAGGTCATAACTTTTTGTACTTTAAAAATTTTTACCCACAAAGGATGAATTCACTTAAATCTAGAAATTTTAGAAACCCTCCACTTTAAACTTACTTCTACTTTTGTGTAGACCTAGACATACACTTTTTTAATTGCAATGCGCTTAGTTCTAGCTTAAGTTTAAAAGGAGTAATTGGAAAAACTCTTGGTTTGCAGTGAAATTGAGTGACATATTCGCATATTCTTTGTGGGTATCTCTTTCTGCAAGAAATGCAAAACGTAGAACTTAAAATTTTAAAATTACATAATTAGTCATTAAATTACAATTTTGAATTTTTAACATTAAGCAATATTAGTCTTGTGTTCAAATGCAGAATGCATCACTGCACTTGGTATATAAAATAATAAAGTTGAAAATAGAGGTAGGCCACGTGCCGTTCATAACGGACAGTTTTTCAAAATTAACGAAACATTCCAAAACCAAACGAATGCAATTTTTAAAGAATTTATAGTACCCTTAAAATTAAAAATAAAATTAAATGTGGCGATTTTTTATGGTTTAAATTTCATGAAAAACATAAAAAAAATAATAAGTTTTTAAAATTTGGAGTGATGTTTTGGCATGTCCACTCAAACTTTACATAAACGGGGAATGCAGTAAACAAATATTATGTACCGTCAACGCAGAAAAATGGAGATCGTTAAAGAACATCAACCTCATTATCGAATGGAAAACCCGTTAACTGAAAAAATCCTATATCTTCTTTATTAAAACTCCTTATTTTAAAGAGATATTCTGAAGAATATAAGCAATTAGGCTTTTATTTCAACTTTTAATTGTGGCTTTATCTGTGAGCATCTTTTCTTTGTACTGTATACAACAAAAAAAGTTTGCGGATTATACATAGTATTTTTATGCGCATTTTCAAAATCTTAGGAAAATAAAAAACTTTTAAGCATAAATTTTTTAGGACAGGACTTATTTGAATAAATTGCATAGGATTTAATACTATGACTGTAAAGCAATTATTTTTTACCAAACTTCCAAATTTTTTGTCGAGAGTTATCTGTAAGAATAGCGAACAACTTACACAAAAAATCGTTAAAAAATGATTTAAAAATATCTGCCAGAATTTTGCAAACTTTATAAAATTCTACAGTTTAACGATTATGTTAGCCTATTAAAATCTATTTTCACATCCACCGACTTAATTCAAGAAATAGGAAAAGTTAAAAACTAAGAAAACTAGATTTATAACCCAGCTTTGTCTGAATATTAGATTTTATAAATGTGACCCCACTTCAAATCTTAAATCCAAAAAAATAAATTTGAGTCAAATTAGTCCCTGTCTGATTTATTATCGGACAAACAAACAAACAGACAAACTTTAAAGATATAAATAGATAATTTTTACCACGGATTAAGACGACCTTTAAGTTTAGATTTCAGCGTGAAAAGGTGAAAAGTATAATTCCTATTGCATAAGAGTGCGCCAGTAATGAATATGGTATAATAATAAGAATTATGCATGAAATAAGATTTATATTTTGAATAAATCATTTTGCTAAATTATTCAGCAAAATTTGAATATTTTAACTCTACGTTTCATAATAGTCAGAGTATTAAACAGTACTTCTTTCTTCTTAATATATGTATATATATGTTTAAACAATTTGTAGTAACAGCTTGGGAACTCAGCTTTGCCTGGAGATTCTGTCATCTGTCAACGGGTTCATTAGTTATGATTGGACATAAAAAAAACAAGCAGACAAACAGAGATTACTATAACTTTTTATACGTAGATTTTTTAGACATAGATAAAGAAAAAAATATGAGAAAAAAACAATTTAACACTAGAAATTCAAAGCGCTTCGCGCCTTTCTTTCTAGGCTTTTAGGGCGCTTCGCGCCCATCTTCTATTTAAATTGTGAACATGTTCTTTTTGTTTACATTTTAAAACAAAGAAGAAAAAAATTGTGCGGATTTTTAAAAAAAAAATTCGCGGATTTTCAAGAATTTAATTTTTTACAAAATTAAAAACCTTTAAACCACATTTTTTATATTGGACACAAACAAACAGACACCCAGAAGAGACAGGAAAGTGAGGCAAACAATGAGAGGATGGGGAGAAAGGTAAAAGCAGAAGAGAACGGGAAGGAAGAAGAAAGGAATGAGAGAGGAAAGGAAGTAGGTAGAAGGGAAGGAAGGAAATACAATGGGAGGAAAGAGGGAGGGAAGAAAGTAAGTGGAAGAGGATGAAAGAGGAAGGGAAGGAAGTGGAAGGGGATGTAAGAGGAAGGGAAAATAGTGGAAGGTAAGGAGAGTGGAAGAGGACGGGAAGGAAGTGGAGGAGAAAGGGTGTAAAAGGAGATTGTTATCAGATTCGTCTAAGTCTGGACAGGAGATGATCAAAAACAGGATTTTAATTTTCATTAACAGTATTATAATATCTTCTTCTGATGGAAACTGTAGTTTATCAGCTTGTTCTTATAGATTCATGTAAACCTTGTCATAATTGTGTAAAACCTACTGAATAGTCCACAACTGGAACAAATTGAAACAGAGAATCTAGATAAATAAAGATGAACTAGTAAAAAGAAAGTGTGAAAGTGGTGAATTCGGAGTATGGTTGCTAATCGTTTTTGAAAACGATCGTTAAACCATCGGTTTCTTGTTTTGTTTTTCAATCGTTTTCAAAAACAATTGTTTCGTTTTCGAAAAAACGATCGTATTAAAACGATCGTTTTCATAACACGATTTCATAATACGATTGTTTTTAAAAAAACGATCACTTTTGAAAAACGATCATTATTGAAAAAATAATTTCATTGACAATTACATTAAAATGATCGTTAACGAAAGGCTGTCGTTAACGGTCGTCAACAAAACGACGAACTTTATAAAAACGGTTTTTTAACGAAGGTTCGTCGTTAACGATCGTTTTTGAAAACGACAGTTTTTAGAAAACGAACTTTTAAAAAACGATCGTTTTGTTTTGCGATTTTTCGTCGTCGTTTTTATAATGAAACGATTGTTTTTCAAAAAATAAAAACGTTAACCCCCTAATTCGTAGACAGTACTTTCTGCGTGTTTTTTTTCACACTTTATTAGGCAAGATATTATGTAAATCCTGTTTTGAAATCTCTGCAACTGCAATAGATATAATAATTTGTGATGCACAATTGTTACTTCGTAATGTACTACGAGAATTTTTAGATTTAAATGAACCGGCCAACATGAATTGTTCAAATTGCAAATGTTTATAAATTTTGAAAGGAACTTTAAATCTGAGACAAAAACAGAAGCAGTCAATAAATGTGTAGCGAATTATAGCTTAGTTAGCGTTTAGTTGTATGGTAGCGTTTTTAAAAGGTAACGTTTTACAGAGTAGCATTTTTATAGGGTAGCGTTTACATTGTATGACTCTCCATACCTGTTCTCAATTTTATCATTATCCCCTTCTCTCCTATCTTCTTTGTTCTCCTAGTTCTTATTCTTCTCTTTGTTTGTATGTTCTCTATGAACAATAAATCTAAGTTGTCATCCTGCAAATTGCATATTTATAATTACAGTTATGTTACACTCACTTCAAATAAAGGGGTCCGTGCTTACACAGAGGATAAAGTATTACAGAGCTGACAGAAACCATAAAGTGGGTAGACTAGATACAGAGGAAACAGTATTACAGAGCTGACAGAAACTTTAAAGAGGTTATATTAGTTAAAGAGGATACATTATTACAGAGCTGACAGAAACTATAAAGTGGGTAGACTAACCACAGATGATCCAGTATTACGGAGCTGTCAGAAACTATAAAGTGGGAAGACTAGAGAATACAGTTTATACTATAAAGGGGGTAGACTAGCCACAGAGGAAACAGTATTACGGAGCTAACAGAAACTTTTATGAGGGCAGACTAGCCACAGATGATACAGTATTACGGAGATAACAGATACTATAAAATCGGTAGACAAGTTACAGAGGATACATTATTACGGAGCTGACAGAAACTATAAAGTGGGTAGACTGGCGCCACAGATGATACAGTATTACGGAACTGACAAAAACTTTAAAAAGGTTAGACTAGCCACAGAGGATACAGTATTGCGGAGCTGACAAAAACTTTGAAGATGCTTGACTAGCCACAGAGGATACAGTTTTACGGAGCCGACAGAAACTTAGAAGAGGGCAGACTAGCCACAGATGATACAGTATTACGGAGATAACAGATACTATAAAATGGTTAGACTAGTTAGACCCGTTATTCCTTTTGTGTTCTCCAGTGAGGGTTCTCCATTGTTTTTTAAAAAACAATTCTACTGTTTTTGTTTTATTTTGGATTTTCATAAACTATCTTTATTTCTGGTTTTTTTCATTTCAAAACGGTTGTTTCAATTTCATCTATTTTTCATCATCAACGAAACGATAAAGTCGTTTTTAAAAAAAAGTTTTAAAAAACTGCGAAATCCCATCCCTACAGCTAAGCTAACAGTCATTAGATTTAATGAAGCAGGTTAGGCTATTTAGAGTCATAAAACATCTTGGCAGTGTGTTTCAATAAAACAAAGCTGATATCATATAGTTCAACCAAATTTTTCTTAACATTTGAAACAAAATCATAAGAATATAGAATCCAAAGCTTAGTACCCGTGATACCACACAACACATCTAAGTTTTCAATAAAATGTTTAATGATAAGCTTGAAAAGTGCTTTATTCTGATAATTCCTAAATTGTTTTCATTCAGTAAAAATTCCTTTTCTAGAGAATCCACAACTGAAAATAGTAAGTTTTAAAACTGTAAACATGGATATAATCCATTATTGATCAAACAAAGGTAGAGAGTACCATTGTGAATCGGAAGTGCCTTTTTTTTTAACTGGAGGATAACTTGAAATTTCTTCTAGCTTCTATATTAAAATAAAAGTGCATTTAATTTTCAAAACCTTCCCTTTTTTAATCTGAGAAATTTAGTAAATCAGAACTGAAAGCTTAGAATGGGATATCCTTAATCCCGATCTGTTAAATAATCTGGAGATTCATAACAAGAGGAAGCATTATTTAACTTGAGATTAAGAAAAGAGGAAGCATTATTTTAGCTGGAGATTAAGATAAAGAGGAACCATTATTTAAGCTGGAGATTAAGAAAAAGAGGAGATCAAGCATTGATCTCGATATCCGCCATTTTAAAGTTTTTAGCTCAGAACTCTAATTCAAATGAAAAACAGACGATGCTATTTTACAATCAGATTTTGATAGATTCGTATTATCATATTTTTATAAATATTTGTTCTCAGATTTTGAAGAATTTTTATCGACAGATTTATATGGATCTTTATCATCAGATTTTGGCAAACCCCTTCATTATTCAATTTAAACAAAATAAAGTCACGCAAAAAGATTTGGCATAAATAATGATTTTATTACTTCTTAGAATAATATAAGCTGTAGTATATTTAGCAAAAATAAATATCAATAATAACAATACAAATAAAATATGCAATTTGCAATATACATGCATGATTAAAACGTTAAAATAAATCATTGATTAAAATATTCTTAGTTTGTATTTGAAATTAAGATAAATTATAAATAGTTCCAGTAAATTATAAACAAAGATAAAGCTAAAAAATAATATATTCAAATAAAATTTTGTAATTAAAGAAAAACAAAAAATATTGAACATCTAACTATTTTATTAAATTTGGGTCTTTCTTCAGAAGTTTCAATTCTTTTACTGCCATCTTCAGCTGTCTAGACAATGTTTTTCCATATCTAAAACAACAACAATTATTTAGAACAAGCACAAGAACAATAACAAGATCAAGAACAAGAACAAGAACAGGAACAAGAACAAGAACAAGAACAAGAACAGTAAGAGCAAGAACAAGAACAGAACAAGAACAAGAACAAGAACAAGAACAAGAACAAGAACGAGAACAAGAACAAGAACAAGAACAAGAACAAGAACTAGAACAAGAACAAGAACAAGAACAAGAACAAGAACAGTAAGAGCAAGAACAAGAACAGTAAGAGCAAGAACAAGATCAAGTAAAAGAGCGAGAACAGTAAGAGCAAGAACAAGATCAAGTAAAAGAGCGAGAACACTAAGAACAAGAACAAGATCAAGTAAAACAACAAGCTAGAAATATAGATATGAACCAGAAAAATAACAAATACGAAAAAAAATTATCCACACAGTTTTTCCGTTGCGAATACAAAGGGACATTTAAATCTAAATTTATCCCCAAAAAGAAAAAAAATTGAGAAACCTATGAAAATTTATTTTTATTCCTTAAAAAAATGAAATCAGAGTTGAGAAGTATGAATAGAGAGGAGTAGATGTGTTAACTTAAGGTTCAAGTAGATGGACAAGTAATTGAACTTGCCGCACACAGCTAACCTTGTCCCTATTCATAAAAAAAACATTTAAGATTTTCGAAACCAGGTTTACTGGCTGGCCTAAAGTTTGATACTCCGGTAAGTTAAGTATTAACGTAAGCTGGATAAGGTTTCCCATCAAATCTATTGTGCAGTGTGCCCACTTCAATCTAGAACTTGTGATGTTAGACATGCAATAATTTTAAACTTTCAATTCTACCCTCATTCTTTATGGCATTTAAGGCATGTAGTCATCAACATGCATTTATCAACATGCGTTCATCAATATGCATTCATCAACATATATTCATTAAGATGCATTCATCAACATGCATTCATCAACATGCCTTTATCAACATGCATTCATCAGCATGCATTCATCAACATGCATTCATCAATATGCATTCATCAACATATATTCAATAAGATGCATTCATCAACATGCATTCATCAACATGCATTTATCAACATGCATTCATCAGCATGCATTCATGTACATGCATTCATCAACATGAATTCATCAACATGCATTCATCAATATGCATTCATCAACATATATTCATTAAGATGCATTCATCAACATGCATTCATCAACATGCATTTATCAACATGCATTCATCAGCATGCATTCATCAACATGCATTCATCAATATGCATTCATCAACATACATTTACCAACATTCATTCTCCTACATGCATTCATCATCATACATTCATCAACATGCTCATCAACATGCATTTATCAACATGCATTCATCAGCATGCATTCATCTACATGCATTCATCAACATGAATTCATCAACATGCATTCATTAACATGCATTCATCAACATGCATTCATCAACATGCGTTCATCAACATGTATTCATCAACATACATTCATCAACTTACATTCATCAACATGCATTCATCAACATTTATTCATTAACATACATTCATCCACATTCATTCATCAACTTTCATTCATCATCATCCATTCACCAACATGCATTCATCAACATGCATTCATTAACATTCATCAACATACATTCATCAACATTAATTCATCAACATTCATTCATCAACATGCATTGATCAACATACATTCATCAACATTCATCAACATACATTTATCAACATTCATTCATCAACATGCATTCATCAACATGCATTCATCAACATTCATTCATCAACATGCATTCATTAACTTACATTCATCAACATGCATTAATCAACATGCATTCATCAACATACATTCATCAACATTCATTCATTAACATACATTCATTAACATTCATTCATCAACTTACATTCATCATCATTCATTCATCAACATGCATTCATCAACATGCATTCATCACCATACATTAATCAACATTCATTCATCAAAAAACATTCATCAACATACATTCATCAACTTACATTCATCATCATTCATTCATCAACATGCATTCATCAACATGCATTCATCAACATGCATTCATCAACATATATTCATTAACATTCATTCATCAACATGCATCCATCAACATTCAAACATCAACATGCATTCATTAACATGCGTTCATTAACATACATTCATCAACTTACATTTATCAACATTCATTCTCCTACATGCATTCATCATCATACATTCATCAACATTCATTCATAAACATTCTCTCATCAACATGCATTCATCAGCATGCATTCATCAACATGCATTCATTATCATGCATAACATGCATTCATCAACATGCATTCATCAACATGCATTCATTAACATGCATTCATCAACATACATTCATCAACATACATTTACCAACATTCATTCTCCTACATGCATTCATCATCATACATTCATCAACATTCATTCATCAACATGCATTCATCAGCATGCATTCATCAGCATGCATTCATCAGCATGCATTCATCAACATGCATTCATCAGCATGCATTCATCAGCATGCATTCATCAGCATGCATTCATCAACATACATTCATCAGCATACAGCACAAATAAGTGTTTACCTTTTTCTGCTGATAGCCAGTGATCTAGCATAGTAACAAATCATTAGTGCAACAACAACAAAGAACGCAACAAATGTCGGTTGGAACAGAAATGCCTGAAGAATAATTTGTTTACTTAAAATCAGTGAGTTTATATTATTCAATTGAAACTTTTTAGAAAAAACCAAAAACCAAGAAAAATGAATAACGATTAACGATAAGTTAATTTATGTATGAATAATCAAACTGCTTCGCGAAAGTACTCTTAACCACACTGGAGATGTAGTTGAACTACCAGTACCTTTCTCAACTTCTTCTATAAAGTACTCTAGACCTTACTGGAGATTTAGTTGAACAACCTGTACCAAACGTTGTTAATCGTTTTTTTAAAACGATCAAGTTTTATGACAATCTGTGTTTTATGACAATTAATTTCAATTTTTTTCAGGAAGAATATCTTATGAATGTTGTCTGAAAATTTTTTTTGTAGAGAGAATTTCCGAACCAATTCCGGAATTTCCAACCAAAAAATGTATTTTGTCTTAAAAATGTCGTTAACGATCGTTAACGAAGAGTGGTCGCTAAAGATCTTCAAAGATTAAAAACGACTAACTTTCTCCAAAATGATCGTTCCGTTTTTTTTGTGTCGGTTTTTAAACGAAACGATCGTTTTTCAAAAAGAGAAAACGAGCGTCATCTATCCCTCACTGTACCTTTCTCAATGAGTTCTCGTATTTCTTTCAATTCACAATGATTGCTTAATTGAAAGATCATACAAATTTTAGTTAACAAATAAATCATAGAAATTCTCATGATATTGCAATATTAGGTATATAAAACTTAAACACTCTTGTCTAACAGAAATATTAAAGGTCTAAAATAAAAAGGTGCGAAGATATAGGGATATTGGAGTAGGCGGAGAGTGATCAGTTCTTTAACGCAATAGAGAATTTCAATTTTGTTTCAATGTGACCTTAATGAATTGAATCTGTATGCTCTGTAACTGTAGAAATTTTATTAATTAAGTAATGCCGCGTAACAGCTGACTAACCTGCTGCAAAAACTTCATTGCATACAAAGGTTTGGTTTGGTCTTGGTTAGAGAAGGGACCACAACCCCTAAAGTAATAATTGTAATCAATGTAATTATTATGATTTATATGGTAAACGAGTTGGGTTTATATTATTTTTCATTGCAACTCGACTGCCGTTTACCCGCGCTTGGTATTAAATCATGAATGAACTGAATTGCCTTGCATTCCGATTAATTTTTTTTAAAATCTTTAAATTAGCCTATGTCACCCCCAGGGTACTCATGGATGCTTTTAACAAATTCTAGCCAATTTGCTCCAGCCGTTTGGCTAGCTATACATAAATATATAGAAGCAAAGAGCTTTATTTTATAAATAAGATATGATATTATGACAATTGAGATAAAGAGATATTCAAAAGATATTTTATGTTAATGTGAATCTTTGGGTCAAGCATTTTTACGGATTAATTAAATTCCGCCTTGATATCAGAGACGACATTTTACAGTTTTGGTTCCCTGCTTGTTTCTTCCTAAATGTTTTTTTTACATTTTTGGTCGTAATTGCAGTCTCATCTTTTATGTGTAACCCTGTATATTGGTAACATGGTTGCAGCGCTCGGCCCAAATATTCCCTTTTGTTCACCTACTGCTCTCTATCTGTGTTAACACAACCCCGTACGGTACAAGGGATACCAGTAGAGAAAGCATGGACACAACTGAAAAATGTGAAAATCATTAGATTCACCATTCAGAGCTATTTAAACAAAGTTCCCTTTTCTTTTCAGGAGGGGGAGGGCTTCCCCCTATTTCCAGACCCCCCCCCCTCTCCTGGTAAATGTTTTTAAGTTTAATACAAAAAGTATTGGTATGCTGTCATCTTAAATCTAAAAGCTGGAATTATAACATAAATAGTTGTAATTTATAGCTTTTCTTGAATATATAGACCAACTTTTAGAAAGGTTGCTAATATTTTTGTGTATTTAAATTTCTAGGTGAAATGCTTTTCAAAAAGTATATTTTGCGCAATATTTTTGCAGATTCTTAAAAAAAGTTCTATACCTGCTCAAAAATTTATCAAATGTTCTTCTAAAAAATATTTAATATTTATTAATTTGGTAATCAAACATAGCTCTCCTCAGAGGCGGCTTATGGGGGGGAAAGGGGTAACAACCCCCCTTGGAAAATTTGAGGGGACTTCCCCCTCCCTTGAAAAATTAGGAGCGCAAGAAGAGAGAGCAGGCACCTTCTAGCCCATAAATATGAATTTTTAAGAATAGCTTTTTAAAATTTTTTGCATGCGGCGTCACTTTTTCTCTTAAAATGTATATTTTATAAAAATCTACATCTTGCTCACACATTTTCCAGCTGTCAACCCCAGCTGCTGATGGTTTTGGCATAAACTTCCCTGTAAAAAATTCCAGGGTAAAAAATTCGACACACTTAGCGCGCAATAATTCAATTATTTCCCCCTCTTCCCCCCCACTGTATAGACATAGGGTTAATTAATGAATGACGCATTTATCCTTAAATGCCCACGCATTGACATCAAGCATTCAATATTGGTTTAATTCTGTTTATTATTACCTTGATAGAAGAACTGAATGGAGGAATTACTCCAGATTTTTGGAGATGCCCTAAACAATTTAAAACTTTGAGTGTTGACAACTTTCTCTACTAATTTAGTACAGCCCCGGCCCCATCCTTGTACTATTGCCTATAATTTGCAATATTTTCATATTTCATAAAAGTTCACATTTAAAAAGTGAGTTTTGCCGCATAAAGTTTTCCTTAGATGTATTTCTTCTTGACTAATGTTATGCTAATGGTGTTTTTAATCATTTCATTAGTTTTATATCGTGCAACCTTGCTCCCCCCTCCCCCTTTCTGCAATAGCTGCACCCTTCCCTTCATTCTAACCCATTGATCCTAGCCAGTGAGGGGATAGGGCGGGGTGGCAGGTTGTTATGTGCCACAACAGTAATATTTCCGTGTGCTACTTACAGCTGGAGAGACTATTGAGCCACTACATTATTATTTATAATTCGCATAGTTTTCTCATTTTAATTTCTGACGGCGGCATTATTATGCAAAATCGCAAAATAAAAACAATTTGACATTGGTTTTCATTCTTGAAAAGAGACAACAAAACGAGATGAAGGCAATTCACAAGGATACAGTTTAAACCTTTAATTAATTAACAACGGGGATCCGATTCACAAGGATACAGTTTAAACCTTCAATTAATTAACAACGGGGATCCGATTCACAAGGATACTCTTTATACCTTTATTTAATTAACAACGGGGATCAATGATTTCGTCGTTTTTTTCCCCTGACAATTGTGTTAAATTCTGGAAACTTGACAAAAGACAAACTTTGCAGCATAAATCCGAAAGAAAAAGAGATTATAGTTTAAAATATCAAGAATAGAGTTTACAGAGAACCGTTGGGACTCGGACATGTTAATTTATGAAGGGGAGGGTAGAATTCAAATATCGTCTTCCGTCCTTTAAAAATATAATTCAAAATTGGTTTCAGATCTACATCAATAAGAAGTTTTTTTCTTGAAATAAATGTGTTTTCTAGAAGATGGGAGAGGGGGGAGGGGGAATTGCGAAACATGACAACCCGTTTTTATAAATATCAAATTTGCAATTGTAGCAAGAAGTGTCCGCAAAGTAATTTATTGTTCCAAGAATCCTGGAAAACTAAGATTGAGGATTGTAGAAATAAAAACCATGTCCGGTACATGCATCTTCTGCTACAATGTTTTTATCTCCAAGTAACCAACATCCAACTGATTTATGTTCAAACACAAAAACGCATAGAAGCGATTAGAGATGGCTAAAATGTCGTCTTTGATTCTTGAAATAATTTGTGGCATGATCATTTTACAAGTATGATTCTTAAAATGATCAAGGTCTCTGGAAACATACTTGTAAAATTAGATTGACAAGCTAGGCGATCTTCAAGCTGTCTCTTGGTCGTAATATGTTTGGTACACCCTTTATCTCAAAGTTATCAATACAATAGAGACAAATTTTCTATTGAAGTTTGAATTTATTTATTTATCTTACAAGTTTCAACGTAAACCAAAACCCCGTTAGTTCTTTATATTTCCGTGTGTTAGGGTGTTTCCATGCTGTTTGAAAACTAGATAGAAATCATATTGAAGTTGAAATTTGTCTTTATTGTATTGGTATATACGACGACGACTGTTTATGTTTTGTTAGTTTCCTATTGGTAGAAGAGGACTGTAGTAGAACCCAAGCCAAGTTATCATCTGTGAGTAGAGAAGATAAGACGTGTTTCTAGGGATATCAAACACAGGAGAACCTAGCTGATTCAAACCAAACCTGAAATATTAAACACAGGAGAACCTAGCTGATTCAAACCAAACCTGAAATATTAAACACAGGAGAACCTAGCTGATTCAAACCAAACCTGAATTATCAAACACAGGAGAACCTAGCTGATTCAAACCAAACCTGAATTATCAAACACAGGAGAACCTAGCTTATTCAAACCAAACCTAAAATATCAAACACAGGAGAACCCAGCTGATTCAAAGCAAACCTGAAATATCAAACACAGAAGAACCTTGCTTATTCAAACCAAACCTAACATATCAAACACAGGAGAACCCAACTGATTCAAACCAAACCTGAAATATAAAACACAGGAGAACCTAGCTAATTCAAACCAAACCTAAAACACAGGGTTATCAACAAAGGATGAGACTTCAGAGACGACTGTAAGGATTTTATTCTGTCTGTTTCTTTGCCGAATCATTAAATAAGCCATTGGATAACTGAATCTAACTCTAGGAGATCGTCACATTTTAATAATTTCAGGTCGTCTGTACTCTGTACAGTTTCATCCTTCCTGGGTAACCCTGTAGTAAATGACATAAAACCATAATTGAATAGATTCCTAGTTTAAAGGGACTGTACACGTGATTTAAATTTTAAAAGGGGAATATCGGATTCACAATTCACAATTAAAATCTCTGTCTGAGCATAGATGACAAAGATATTCTTGTGTGTTTTATCTTAAAATTGATAACTTTGAATTGTGTGTTTTTTGAAAAATTAACCTGCGGATTTACGCAGCAGAAAGAAAGAATGAAGTGGACAGAATTCATCTTGTTTTAAGTTAGAAAGCTAACTGAATCTTCCTCATAGGTACTCAGATAAAGCTATGTAAAGGATACTCTTGTAAATTGAGGAGTGAGGGGTTGTAAGGGAAGGAGGTTGGTGAGGAGGGTTGTAATGGAAGGTAAGTGGGAGAAGAACAGCTTAAATATCTAGCTATACAGCTTAAATTTCTAATTATACAGCTTAAATATCTAGCTATACAGCTTAAATATCTAGCTATACAGCTTAAATATCTAACTATACAGCTTAAATATATAACTATACAGCTTACATATCTAGCTATACAGCTTACATATCTAACTATAAAGCTTAAATATCTAGCTATACAGCTTAAATATCTAACTATACAGCTTGAATATCTAACTATACAGCTTAAATATCCAACTCACCAAAACCAGTAAAATCTCCAAATTTAATGTTCTATCAATCAATCAAAAATAATTCTCTGGAAAATGTGACAATGATTTCTACTGTGCTGCTTGCGTAGACTTATAACCTTATTTAGTCTGGAATTAAATTTAAACTTTGAATTAATTATTTGACAAAACTTTTCAGCTTGTACTTAAATATTGTGCATTCTTTTGTTTTTGATTATTATAATTAAAAACTTTAAATTCAGTCTCAACTATTACAGGTAACTAGTTACCAGACTGAGTGAAAAGCCGACAATTACTCCCAGCATTACACCAGCAAGGAGGAAAGATCTACACAACAACTCATGTTAAAGAACTAACATAAGAAATAAGATAAAAATACAACAGATTCATTTTAATTTTTTGAATTAATAATTAGTTTTTTAACATCTCAAATTTCCACAGTGACAAATCAGAAAACTGTAGAATAGGAAGACGACATTTAAGCAATACTGAAGTGCACTTGATGTTGTTACAAAGCAAATAGCTTTACTAGTAAGTTATTCAATCCTTAATAAGTAAAATGTTTCTGTTTATTCTATTTAAAGACAAAACTTGAGTCGGCTTCCTATTCCAAAGTTTTCTGGTTCTCCCTGTAACTATTTTTTTAACTGATGAGTTTCCTGGTTAGTCGAACGAAAATACCATCTTGAGCACTCCATTTCTCTAACTGACTGAAATATTTATCTTCATAATCATAAATTAACCTGGTTGGTTTTTCGACATTTTTTGACAGTTTTTTACTTTTCTAACTTAAATATGCCCACCAATATAGGCTTAAAGCGGAGCTTTTACACCTACTGCCTGAGTCCTCAGGCATACTGCCTGAATGCCTTATTTTACCTATACTAGACTAAATCTATATTAAGACCTACTTCTAGTCATTGGATTTCAACATTTAATAGTTTTTTAGAAAGCCTACAACAAAATGATGTAGAAATTTTGCATGGATTTTTGTACTAAAGCCTTGAAAGGGACATTGCACATTTTCAAATTGAGTTTTTGCAAATATGCATTTTTGAGTTAGCTATATTTGTATCACAATAAGGAAATATTGGTAAAAGAGACTTTAGCTTGAATAGGGTTAAAATAAAGAGTGATCTGTTTACCTTATAACAGAGAACAACCAGGGAAGAAGGAGCATAATTCCCTAAACACAAAATTTTAGTATTTTTAACATATGCATGTCTAGTTTTTCACGGCAAAAATAAACATTTCTTTTAATAGGCTTTTAACTTTTGAAGAGCGTCGTATTGTAGGATATAAATCTTCGTTTATTCTTCAAACATGATATTAATGAAACAAAACATTGAATTATTTCGCAAATTTTTCTGTTTTTTTTTCGTGGATTTTGAAAATATCTTGAAAATTAAATATTATTTTTAAGGGAATCTCTACAAAAATTCCTTTGGGCTTAGCGAATTGTTCAACCGTATTGACGTTCATTGGATACAAACACACAAACAAGCCTTAAATAATATCAAGAGGTTTACAAACCTGGATTACAATAGGAATGATGTACACGGCCTCGTTTGTCTGTTATGAAGTAAATCATTATTTTTATTCAATTTTGATATAATAACTATCCTGCATTTTTACTCACAATCGCAATTTTATGATTCCATAAAAAGTTTTTAATTTTCAGACGCAAATAAAATAAGTTTTCAAACTTTGATCAATATTTTCAGCATATTCTTTAATAATATTCATGGTTACACAAAAATGGTTAGTAAATCAAATACAATTCACGAATCTCTAAAGAAATTTTATTCGGTTTTATTTGTTTGGGTCTATTTGCTATAATTTGTATTTGTTCTTCTTCGTTTTCGATTAAAAGAAAAGGGAACCCACGCAAAAATATTTTCATTAAATAACATTCTTGTTTTTTTTTCACACGCAAATAGTCTATTGTAACTTTTAGAAGAAGTCTGCAGTCTAGACAAAATTGTAGATCAAAATTTAGTGTGTGTATAATATAAAATATAATGCTTTACGCGAATATAAAATATAATGCTTTACGCGAATATAAAATATAATGCTTCACGCGAATAAATATTTAGATCATAAAAAAATGTAATCTCTCAAATTATTAGAAAACTTGAATTTAAACCTCAAACAAACAAAAAAAAGTAAATAAAATCTTATCTCGTACACAACAACTAGGGTTTCGCGAAAAGTAATTTTTTTCGCGATTTTTTTTTGCGAAATTTTGCTTTGTTTTACATTTTCGCTTCATAAATTTTTGCGAAACAGTTTGCAAAATACAAACGAAAATTTTTGCATTTTTTCGCAAAACGTTTTGTTCGCTGCAAACCCTAACAACAACACAAGACATTTTGCATGAATTAGATATTGCATTTTTGATACGGTGAGAACCAGAACAACGTGGAATAGGAAGACGACATTATAGCAATACTTAATTATATTTGATGTTTGATTATTTGACTTTTAACTTATTATGGGTAAATGTATCTATTTACAATGCACAGTGCGTCTCATGTTCAGCGGACTATTTAAAATCATAACTTGAGTCTAAAAGTCGTCTTACTTTTCCCGAGCTTTCTAGTTTCACTGTATACATATTCCTTTAACTTTAAACTTGTTTCTTTCTTCGCTTTCATTTAGAAGCTGCCGATATAAGACTAAATACAACGCAGAATACTTAATTTAACCAATTGTAATAAATTACGTAACAAATAGATAGATTTTAAAAATCGTCTTTATCTTTGTTAGATTTCACTTTTCCTTCTCTGCTTCTCGTAGTTTATACAAACCAAACCCAACCCCAGCCAATAGTCCCATAACTAGCAGGCTTACTACACATCTAGAAATAACAACATGCAAGGAAACTGTGGATAAAGAAAGACAAGTTTTAAGTAGTCTAGTGAAAGCATGAAACATTGAAGTGTGAACAGGCCTGTTTCGATTATCTAGTTGATTTTAAAGCTGCTTCCAGAACTATTGCTTATAATAGATTTAAACAATCATAAGATTGCATTAGCGTCGGCTTCCAATTCCACATTAAAGAGTCTTATATACTGTAAACATTATAATTTAGTTGTATGCCTAAAATGGGCGTAATAAAGAAGCACAGGAACATATCTTTAAAAAAACCCACTTAGCATCGTAATAAAAAACGAAATTTCAAAGTGCAGATATTAATTCTCAATGCTGCATTGTTTACATTAAACCAGTTTTAAGCTAATACACAACCCTGCTCCACATATTACGTATTCTCTTTGCTTCGCCGTTATTATATTCAGCATTGAGCATTTTTTTGTCAACGTTAAAACAAATATTTTGTATTTTAATTTAGATGTGAATAATTTTGTATAAATAACAAACTAGTTAGAATCATTTCGATCTGTGTTAAGAAATTTTATAGATAACAGTTTTAAAAATCGAAAATCTTGTAAACAGGAAATTTGGTGGATTCTAAAATTCGGCCATGAGGCAAAAAAATTTGTTACCTCCCCTTTTCGTAATTATTTACCTAGTTAGAAGAGTTTTGCTCTCTAGTTTTGGTTTACTCCTTTGTCCTTTCTTTTTCAGCATTTCCTGTAAACTTCTTAGATTCTTCTCTCTGTATATTATTTAGATGAATTTTGGTACTGAGAAAGTAGTCATGTGCATTCGTTGGTTCGTTTCAGGGCGATTTTAGGGTCGTTTTTGGTTGGTTTTAGGGTCGTATTTTGGGTCGTTTTTGAGTCGTTTTAGGGTCGTTTTAGGTTGTTTTTGGGTCGTTTTTGGGTCGTTTTCGGTTCTTTTTTGGCCTTTATTTTCTTTCAATGTCAAAATTTGGTATAAAGTAAAAAGTTATATTTCTAAATTGTTTCTTTTAAACATTTGGTTTACTTAAACACTAAGCAAAGTTTTAACCTTGACAGAAGTTAAATGCAAAAAATAATCCAAAAAATATCCAAAAATAATCCAAAATAATCCAAAAATAATCCAAAAACAATCCAAAAATAATTCAAAAACAATCTAAAAATAATCCAAAAATAATCCAAAAATAATCCAAAAACGATGCAAAAAAACAATCGTTTTTTTAAGACGAGGATATTGCTAAGCTTAAAAAAAACAAATATAAAGAATCAAATTAAAGTTTTGAAATTTTGGAAGCGTTATTATTTAAAAAACACGATCTAAAACGATTAACGTATCTCCATAAGGTAGCATTATATTCCTTTTCATGAAAATGTTTGTACAGATTGTACACAATACACAATTCAGGATTATACCAACAAAGCATGAGACTTTTTCAACATTCATGATTTAAACTTTATTTTTCCTTTGCCAGTTGATTTAGTATACATTTAAGGAGGACCATTAATTCAATCTTAAACTTTATAAGTTTAAGCTAAGGTTGTCATTAATATCTCATCCTGTGTGGGTAACCCTGAATTTACCAAAATCAATAAAAAACTTTAATTCAATCAAAAAGCAAACAATTCCTTAAATTCTTAATATTATTTATTCTAAACATGTAACTTTGAGTTACAGGGTGTCCAGATAAACATGGGAATAGAGAGACGATTTGAATATCGTCTTTGATTTCCAATAAGTGATAAAAGATTAAGTGCATTAAAAAAGATTGATAGCCTAATGAGCTTTCCAAAATGAGCTCTACCTTCGTTGTATCTTTTATATTGATATTAAATATTTGAAAAGTTATGTTGAGTTTTTAAAAAAATTGGAACCTTGACAAATTTCCTAATATATCTGTCAATTTTGCAGGTAAAATTTTTTTGGAAATCTCGAGACTAGAACTTTTCGTTGTTAAATTTTTAACTGTGATAGTACAAAATTGCGTTTACGAAATAATCCTGCATTGTCGTCATTTAACTCCCATGTTTAATTCAACTTTCTTAATAAATCTATATTTACCATGTTATCAATTAATTTATCAATCTAATGATCAAAATGATAAATTAATTGAATGATTTATTCAATTAAATTCATCGTGATCCCTAATTGCTGATGCACAATCCGTATCATCTATTGACATCTCCCAACCTGGAATATGTTTGGGAATGTCGTCTTCAAAGTTCGGAAATGCTTTAAAATACAGAGAGGCCCATAAAACAATCTTCTGTGTATTTCATATTATTTTCTAGCAATTAATAGTTTTACCAGTAGCTCCAACATTGAATATTTACTTAATGTAATTCATAATTCAGTGATACGGGTCTATTTACACTGCTTAATTACTTGAGGCTTAAAGTCGTCTTTCTTTTCAAAAATGATATGCAGGTCCCACTGAAGTTTTTTAGAGGCGGGAATTTATAAGATTTATTTACCCATGTTATCCCTACAGTGGTTAAGTGGTACACATATATATGAATTAACATTCAGAGACGACATTATTCGTCCTCCGACTTATTGCTGAAGATTTTTATACCAACATTTTCATAGAATTAATAAGCAATCCAAAATGGAGTCTAGATTGCACGTTTGCTTTAATCAAATTATGTAATATTTTAAAAATAATGAGATATTAACGGAAAAAATCAAACCGTTTAAGAACACTGATCGTTATTTTTCTTCCGTTAGGTATTTAGGCAAAAATGATATTTAACAAAAATAATTCAATTCTAATCTTTATTAAACTTTAGCGTCAATTTTGAAAGTTAAAATGGCACACCATATTTTTAGAAAATTAAATGGAAGCTATCTGTTTTGAGTGGCTTTAATTTTAACATGCAGACCAAAAAATCGTCATTTAATCCCCATATTTTTGGGACACACTGTACATAGTTTGGTATACTTATAGACGAGACCTGTCAAATAACGTCAAAAAACAAAGAAGTCAATTATGAAAAAGCTTCTTTTTAATTACTTGTAAACTTGCAAATTGAAAAAAGCTTGTTAAAAATCAAAACTTAGATCAAAAAGTCGTCTTCATTGTATTGATATAATTGCCTACCATGCCGTCTATAAAATATATATATATATAAATTTGGCTTGGGTGTCTGTTTGTCTGTCTGTCTGTTTGTATCCAATAAACGTCAAAACGGCTGAACCGATCGGGCCCAAACTTTGCCACAAACTCTGATTTTCTAATTCCTATATGCCTTTAATACCAGATATAGTAGACTTTAGATATTTAAAACTATGAATACGCTACATGGTACAGTATAACCCTTAATAACGAATACATCGGAAGAATTTATCAAATGTCGTCTTGACAATTTTTCAATAAGTTTTATACTATATTACGTAAATTTCAGTATTTGCGAAAATAAATAAATTATAGCCATGAATGTGTGGGAACAGTTTTACAGAGTTCCATATAATCATTTGATTTCTGAAAGAAAATACTGCCATTTTGAGTATGTTCTAGGGGTTTTTTAAAGAATTATATGCACTCCTAATTCTAAAGTCTTTTTATACATTTGGTTGGTTCAGTTTGTGCACTGTACACTGCACATTTATACATTTGGTTGGTTCAGTTTGTGCACTGTCTGTACACTGCACATTTATACATATGGTTGGTTCAGTTTGTGCTCTGTACACTGCACATTTAGACGTTTGGTTGGTTCAGTTTGTGCTCTGTACACTGCACATTTATACATATGGTTGGTTCAGTTTGTGCACTTTACACTGCACATTTAGACGTTTGGTTGGTTCAGTTTGTGCTCTGTACACTGCACATTTATACATTTGGTTGGTTCAGTTTGTTCACTGTACACTGCACATTTATTCATTTGGTTGGTTCAGTTTGTGCACTGTACACTGCACATTTATACATTTGGTTGGTTCAGTTTGTGCAATGTACACTGCACATTTATACATGTGATTTTTCTCGGACATATTTTTTCAGGACTTTAATTTCTGTGATATATGTATCATTCTTAGACTTTATTGGCATTGCCCAATCCCCATACTATCTTAGGGGAAAAATCCCCGGAATCCAAAATCCAAAACTTATCTCCAATAACATTCGGTCATTGGATTTTTTTACGAAAGTTGTATTTCCAGGTTTTTTTCAGAAACTTTTTCTGCATGACGTTCTTTCACCGTGACTTTTATTCCTAGATTCATTAACTTACCCTGTATGAATTAACGATGAAGGCCCCGCATACAATGATGTAGAACAAATAAGAAACCAGGATTGTATAAAAATATCCATCCTATTTTATATTTACATCTATCTTCATTAATTATGTATTGAAGGTCAGCATACCTCATGATTCATGATGAAAATTGAAAAGTGAAATTTAGGAATTGGACGAAAATAATTCCCTTTAAATACTAGTTTTAATGATCTGTTTTTAATATTTATTCGCTTATTTCAAGTTCTTAGAGGCACCCCCTCTTGCAAAGATGGCAAATTCCGATTCACAACGGTACCCTTAAAAGCTTTGTATGATCAAGTACGAATTAGATATTCATGTTTTTGTTCCTTTAAACAGTTCATTTTCATTTTAAGGGTTCTCTTGTAAACCTTGCATTTCCATCCTTGTGTAGAAGGTCACTTGAAATAACGCTTATAGTCCCTTAAATAATAAAATTAATTCGAAATGTTTACCCCTTCATGGGAAAGGAGTCCAATTTTTACCCCTTCATGGGAAAGGAAACCAATTTTTACCCCTTCATGGGAAAGAAGTCCAATTTTACCCCTTCATAGGAAAGGAGTCCAATTTTTACCATTCAACCCCTGGTTTGACCAAGAATGAATGAGATATCCTCGTTTTCTTGTATGAAAAACGGTTATTTTTAACTGTAAAATAGTAATTTTCAAGTTTTTGCAGTGGAGTGCAAACAATGGAGCAAATTTTATATGTCAAATTTTTTAAGATAGAAAAAGATGTGAATGACAAAGTTATGACTCGCTCGAACATGTTATTGTATAATCTTAAAACTATGTTTTATTCGATTTAAAGTAAAAACAAAAACAAAAATATAAAATAAAATTGTAAATGTTGCCTGTATAAGATACTCAGACCAGTACACATCCAATGTACCCTAAAAAGAACATTTGATGTCTTAAATGTCAAAATCTGTCGCTACAAAAATACAGCGATAACCGTAGAACTCTGGAATAAGAAGAAAACTTTAGGCTCAAGTTATGACTTTAAATAGTTTTTAAAAACATGAGACACCGCAACTGTAATGTTTAAATAAACCAATTTAACTTGATTAGTAATATAAAAAGTTAAAGTATTCGCTTCAAAATAACTTGAAATATACTCAAGTATTGTTATAATATCTTCTTCCTATTCCACAGTTTTCTGGTTATCACTGTAATTCAACTGTTCGTGTCCATTTCAATTAATTTTTACTATTTTTCCTTCTTATATTCAAAATTAAAATTTTGTAATAATCTTGCATTTATGTGAAACAAATTGGCCTAAATGCGTTTATTTGTGATGTTTTATGCACTCAAATTGTTTTCGGAAATTCTCAAAAAAAATCAAATTTGTTTGTTGGGGTAACATTTGGCGAAACCTTTTTTTGAAATATTTGGAATTCCCCAGGTAAGGTCTTCAGTTAAAAGTATAATTTAATACCAAGCGTGTAAACAGCGGGAAAAATTATGACTATATAAGTAATATAAATGTAAATTTGCAAAGATTTTTATTCAATATTGTGTACTCTATGTACTTTCTGAATCACTGATCAATGCAATTAATTCATGCAAATCTTTGCAACATGCCATTTAGGAAAATTAAACCATGAAATCATTTAAAAGGTCATTCATATTCACGGTGGGCTTAGAGGGGGGGGGGGGGCTTTACTTTTCATACAACCTATTTTTATTCCAGGGGAAAGCAAGGAATTTCTTGCATACTATTTTTTTATTTGAAAGGTTACAATTCCAAAATAAACTAAAAATTATGAGAAAAAATTCGTACATAACTTAATTGAAAACCCAGATGTTAGTTTTTAAACTTTAGTAAATTGCCGCAAAATTAACATCTTACATATTTTAAATCATAAAACTCCTCTTATTTTAGAGCTATTCAGCTAAAGAACATAAAATCAAAATTAGAGGGCCACGAGGTCACAATGTTGTAGCAGTAACAATCAAACAAGCTCGTTGTTAAAATGGAATTGAACTCTGCAATAGTCGTGCTATATCGGGGTGATGTTAACAGACTTTTGAACCAAGTTACACATTTAAAAAGTCGAGTTTAAGACGAATATTTGCTACCAGATTTCACCCAGTAGGTTGATTGGACTTCAAAATTGGTTCAAAAATCGGTTTTAAAAAACCAGAGCTGAAAACTTTAGAATGGTGGATATCGGGATTAATGCTTAATCCACTCTTTTTCTTAATCTCGAGATTAAATATTGCTTGTTCTCCTCTCATTTTTAATCTTCAGATTAATTATCCGATCAGGATTAAGGATATCCCATTCAAAAGTTTTCAGCTCTGGATGGCTAAAGTGGAGTATTATTCTAGATCTTAGATCAGAAACCAATTTTAAACTATTCAAATCAGTTCATCCAATCGATATTTTTTCGGAGAAGAAGAAAAAAACATTTTTAAATTATAAGCCAACTCTTGTTGTACATGCTTTATGTTCTGTTGAAAAGTTTGATTGTCTTACATTCGAATTGTAATAGAATCCATAAAACAGCTCAGACTTCTCTAGGTATCCCTCGCCTGAAAGTTAAAAAATGGACTGCTCACGTAATTTTAAGAATCTCGCTCTTTTAAAAGTTGCAACGATGCCCTTTAAACGCTAAAAATTCGGTCATTTTTATTTTGTGGTTTCTCTGTAAAAGTGACCCTTTAAACCCAATACATAAACCTACGGTGATGCACAGTTACTCGAATAAAGATTTGAATGGGTACCTTTGTAAATCAGACATCCCACTATTTTTTTAATGTAGGATCACTCGAAATTACGTTTTCAATTTCTTTAAGAACATTGTAGGTGAAACATAAATAAACTCTTTTACATTTTTCTTTTTTGTTTTTTGTTTTGTTTTTTGTTTGTTAAACCAGAGGTCAGATTTAATGGACAGTTCGAAGTAGCTGAACCATGTTTGGATGGTTGAACCTACAGTTGAATCTAGTTTAACCAAGGGTGCATTAAATAATTAGTTTAACTACACGTAAATAGTTCAGCTACTTCTTGCTTTTCATCAATCCAGACCTCAGGACATGAAAGCTCGGATTTATTCATATATGTTTGTCTGTACTCTACACTTAAAGATATTACTATAATATACAGAAAACTCTGGAATATGAAGCCGACTTTTAAATTCAAGCTATGGCTTTAAATAGTCCAATAACATTCTACACAGGAATTGTGCAGCTTAAACAGACCAATTTTACTTAAAAATCACTTTATTAAGTTACTTATAGTAAACTATTTGCGTTGTCACAACTTATAATTGCACTTCAATTTTGCATTGATGTCGTCTTCATATTCCGCAGTATTCCGTTTACTACTAAATAATGCAATAATAATGCAAATTTGCTTGCATATTTCGCAAACTTTTAAGCTTTTTATACCTGTGAACAAATCCGAAACAGAAAAGTTTGCTCTAACAAATTGTTTTTGTACATAAACTAAAATGTACCGTGTAAGCTGTACGGCTAATGAGCTTTTCAAAATGTGATCATGCGTAGTGCACATGCAGTTTAACAATTAAATCTTATTCACAAAGAGATAATATTTTTTTAAATGTTGATAAAGATTAAAATAAACTTATTTCTACAATCCATTTTTTATGAACGTCGTTTTTTATGAGAGTTTAATTCTGATAATGTACTTCATATAACTTAAGCAGAAATGCGTTAGTCACTTTAAAGAGAAACTGGACTATTGAAAATTATCAACTTTTTAAAAAAATGATGATCGGTATCTCATGTATTCTTGATTAGACAAAGCTTTTAAGGGTACCGTTGTGAATTAGATATATGCTGCTCTTTGTAGTTGTGTCTATCTATACAGTCACTTAAATTCAGTGAACGTTTGAATAATTTGCAAATATCTTATCTTAACCCTGAACTTAGCATGGAACTGAAGACCGTGAAAACATGTTGCAGGCAATTCAAAGAATTCTTTAAATTTTTTGTTTTCACAAAAACAAATTTCCTTTGGATGTCCATCCTACAAGCACACGATTTCATTGAATGTCAAAGAAAAAATCAAAGAATCCAAAAAGAAAATTTGAATACAACAGTAATTTAAAGATTTGTTGATAATTTTTAAATAAAAAGTTAAATCATAAAAATCTTGTGTTTCCTTGATGTGTAAGTATTGTAGGGAAGCAACAAAAATACAATCACAGCTGGGAAAAATATTCAAAATGTTTCATATTACAAATACATTGCATTGTATCATATGGGCACATAATGGAAATAAAAATTTACCTATAAAATTGAATTTTAAAACCATATATTCCTGTGGTTCTAACGAGTACCCCAATGAAAATTAGAGAAAATCAGTCATGGGGTTCATTAGTTATGATTAAACATACAAACAAACACACACCAGACAAACAGAGATTACTACTTTATATATAGACTAGCTTGGGAACCCATAGCTTTGCCCGGAAACAATTAAAGGAATTGATTCTTTGCCACAAACTCTGATTTTCTAATCCCTATATCTTTGAAACCCAATGTCGTAAACCTATGATATTTCAAACTTATATTATTTGATCTAACAGAAGTCATAGTTTGAAATATCAAAGGAATACGACATTGGAATCTAAAGATATAGAGATTAGAAAATCAGAGTTTGTTGCAAAGACTCAATTCCTTTCTGTACAAATTTTACCTTCTAAACTTTTTAGAATCAAGCTAAAAAACATTCCCGTGGTTCCTCTGAGTTCCCCAATCAAAAGTTAAGGCAAATAGTTAAAGAGAATTCATGAGTTATGATCGGACAAACAAACAAGCGAAGTTTTGAGATTTTTTATTATTAAAAAACGTCTTTTCGACGGCCCTCTTAATATACATGCTTATCTTAAACATGGTTGTTTTATTGCTGTTTATATAGGATGTAAATGCATAAAAACTTGAAATTGTAAAATGTAAAAACCCGCAGCAAATTTGACGTCCATTGACTTATTTATCAATGGTGACGTCACTTTTTGGGGGGATTTTGGGAAAACCATCATTTTTGAAATCTTCTGATACGTCTGTAAAAAATAATTTTTTATTTTCTGATTGAATATTAAATTCCAAATTTATGTACAGGGTGTCCCACGAAACATGACAGTTGGTGAATGGTTTCAAATGTCTTCTTCCATAATTTGTTAAGATGTTTGACACCAAAAAAATAATACTAAATAAATGGGAATCATCTTATGCAGTAAAATTGATTTCTAAGTAAAATATATTTGGGTAAAATATTTTTTACCAAATAAACTACAAAAAGTCTTTAATATCTAATACAGTATAAGGAAGAAGACATTCAAAACTTTTTACCAGCTGTCATGTTTCGTGGGACTCGAATTGTATTGTATTATTTACAAATATTACTTTTGAAGAAGAAATAAAAACTTTGTTTGATCTCTTGAGTTTGTTTTGTATTACTGTTTGAAAGGAACCCTCCATTTAAAGAGGACCATGTCCGATTTTCAACAGTACCCTTTTAACCTAGATCTGACAATGTGAAAGATATTGAAATTTTCCTAGCATTAAAAGTGTTTAATTCTGACAATTTCATCCATCGTTTCTTTAGCAAACGAAAACCCACCTTTACAAATAATCGTTTTTCAAATAGAAAATGTAAGCATCTCAATTATTCTTGACCAAAAAAAGTTTAAATTTTGAATCATGTGGATATGGCACTCTACAAATAAAGATTTACTGCGGTCCCTTTAACATTCCAGGTTTTTCCTCGGCCTCCCAAAAAGCGGAAACGTTTAAAGAATTGCTAAATTAAATGTTCAAGTTTAATTAATGCGTAAACAATAACAAACGATCGGGGTTGCTTCGTCCATGTTGTTTTAGTAAAAATGTAGGAAATTTATCAAAATGTATCAAAATAACGTTTTGCAGATGTTTATGGTGCTTGACTCTAGAACCTAAGTTGAAATTTGTTTTTGCTTTCAGTATGCAACATACTAAAAACAAATGTTGGATATCAAACTATCTTTATACATCTATACTTTGCTTGTCTGGGTATTTGTCTGTCTATTTATATCCAGTAAACGTCAAAACGGCTGAACTGATCGGGCCCAAATTTTGTGTGGGACCTCACCTGACTCCAGGTAAGGTTTATGAATGATCAAAATTTCAAAAATTTGCCTCCAACCATAATGGATTTTAATTTAGTTTAAAACTCAAAAAAAAAATTTTAAAATCCCAAGAACTTTTTTGGGGGGTTTTGTTTTACAATGTGAACATAGAGAAAGTGTATTCCTTTGAAATAGTATTTTAAATTTGTAGAAACTTTTTTTGAATATGCCTAGAGAGACGATTAGGTTTTGGAAGATGAACCATTTCAAAAGTTTAAAAAAACTTGCTGCTCCGGATCCAAACTTTTTTTCTAGACCAAAAATTTTTTTTTCGAAAAAGATCAAATATAAAAAATATTTGGTTGTTCGCGAAAAAGGTTTTATTCTATTTTTGTATTTTTTTGGTTCCTGTGTGTAAAACGGATCTTTTGAAAAAGTCTAATTTCCTCATCCCTGCAACCATTTTATCAACAACATCTAAAATTTGGAAAATTTGAAGGAAAAAATATTAAGTGTTCGATCATGACAAATTACAAAATCATAAAAAGCAAACTAAAGAATGCAACAGAATTATCAACAACAACAACAACAACAACACCAACTAACACAACATCAAATAACAATAACAACACCAACTAACAACAACAACACCAACTAACAACAACAACACCAACTAACAACAACAAAAACATCAACTAACAACAACATCAACTAACAACAATACCAACTAACAACAACACCAACTAACAGCAACATCAACTAACAACAACACCAACTAACAACAACACCAACTAACACAACACCAACTAACAACAACACCAACTAACAACAACATCAACTAACAACAACATCAACTAACAACAACATCAAATAACAATAACAACACCAACTAACAACAACAACACCAACTAACAACAACAACACCAACTAACAACAACAAAAACATCAACTAACAACAACATCAACTAACAACAATACCAACTAACAACAACACCAACTAACAGCAACATCAACAAACAACAACACCAACAACAACAACCACCAACAACAACAACACCAACTAACAACAACATCAACTAACCACAACACCAACTAACAACAACACCAACTAACAACAACATCAACTAACAACAACATCAACTAACAACAACATCAACTAACAACAACAACATCAACTAACAACAACAACATCTACTAACAACAACAACAACAACAACAACACCAACTAAAAACAACAACATCAACTAACAACAACAACAACTAACAACAACACCAACTAACAACAACATCAACTAACAACAACAACAACAACTAACAACAACATCAACAAACAACAACAACAACAACTAACACCAACACCAACTAACAACAACAACAACACCAACTGACAACAACACCAACTAACAACAACAACAACAACAACAACAACAACAACACCAACAACACCAACTAACAACAATAACATCAACTAACAACAACATCAACTAACAACAACAACATCAACTAACAACAACACCAACTAACAACAACACCAACTAACAACACCAACTAACAACAACAACAACAACAACACCAACTAACAACAACAACCAATTAACAACAACACCATCAACTAACAACAACATCAACTAACAACGACAACAACAACTACAACAACAACCACAACACCAAATACAACAACAACCATAAAAATAACAAAAAATAAAACAAAAACTACAAGAACACGAACTACAACATCACGAACTACTAAAAAACAACTAGAACAACACAAACTACAACAACACGAACTACAACAACAACAGCAACACCAACATAACAAAACCAACAAAACAACACCAACAAAACAACAACAACAATAACAACAACAACAACAACAACAACAACAACAACAACAACAACGATAATAACAACAACAACACCAACAACAACAAAACCAAGAAAACTACAACAACAGTAAATACAACGACAACGTCAACAACAACAACAACAACAACAACTACCACAACAACAACAAAATAACTAATACTACAACAACAACAACAACATATTAACAAAAATTATAACAACAACATTAGTTTACCTAAGAATGATCTATTGAATGTCGTCATTCCAATGCTATCTATGTTTGTCTCCAAAATTTGTCTTTAATCAAGTATACGTTCTTTTAAATTAGGTTCAGGGTGAATCAAATTAAATATTCTTAGAATTTAAAAGCGAAACTTTGCCACGCTTTTTACCCAAATTAAATGGATTAAATTGAACTATTTGTTTTCTCTCAAAAAGCCTTGCAGCGGGGGGCGTTTTAACCATTCTTTTGTTTTGTAAAATCACGACTTAATACTTTTTTGTATACATTTATGGGATTAAAAATAAAACTGTATACATTCATAATTTAAGTATGCTCACTGCTTATAATACGTCTTTTAGGGTTATAATATTTTCAACTAAAGAACTTCTTTTACATTGTTCCGACGTGTTGATTGGATTTTCTTTAAACCTCCCTCACAAAATCAACCAATCCAGATGTGTATACTTTTTTCAGTTAATAATTTCTCAATTTATAACTTTCTTCTGTTTTTAAAACAATAGTATATAATTTTTTTGTATTTGTATATAAACTATGAATTACTGAGTCTGCTCTGACTTTTGCTGTATTCTTATATTTTTCTCAATATATAAATTCTTTAATTTACTGAGTCTGCTCTGACTTTTGCTGTATATATATAATTTTCTCAATATATAATTTTCTCTATATATAATTTTCTCCATATATAATTTTCTCAATATATGATTTTCTCAATATATAATTTTCTCAATATTTAATTTTCTCAATATATAATTTTCTCTGTATATGATTTTTTAAGAATGTATATTTTTCCTTTTGATCTTGATTGAGGTGGGCAGACCTTTGATCAGCGCGAGATCTACTTCAGCTCCTTTATTTAAAAAATTAATCATTTTTTTGTAAAGATACTTTTAATGTTTATCAAAGGCAATTGTTTTGTAATGTAACTGTACTGCAGTCAGATGTTTACTCGGAATGATGTAAGGATTTACAGAAACACCCCTATCAGATGTTTACTCGGTATGATGTAACGATTTACAGAAACGCCGCTGTCAGATGTTTACTCGGAATGATGTAAGGATTTACAGAAACCCCCCTGTCAGATGTTTACTGGGAATGATGTAAGGATTTACAGGAACACCCCTGTCAGATTTTTACTCGGAATGATGTAAGGATTTACAGAAACACCCCTGTCAGATGTTTACTCGGAATGATGTAAGGATTTACAGAAACCCCCCTGTCAGATGTTTACTCGGAATGATGTAAGAATTTACAGAAACCGCCCTGTCAGATGTTTACTCGGAATGATGTAAGGATTTACAGAAACCCCCCAGTCAGATGTTTACTCTGAATGATGTAAAGATTTACGGAAACACCCCTGTCAGATGTTTACTCGGAATGATGTAAGGATTTACAGAAACACCCCTGTCAGGGGTGGAAATAAACGCTTTACATCTTAGAACGTTATGGAAATATTAATAATATTGTTATTTTTTTAACGCACAGTAGAAATAATAATAATAGTAATAATAATAATAATAATATTCGTCTTACCATTGAAAACTTCTCTGACCTCTTCCATCATTTGTGCTAGACAAAAATGAAAAAATAAATAAAAGTGAAAATAATTTATGCATTAACTATTTTTTCGGATTCTTGAATTCAGAATTATTTTAAATGTGACACATTTTTGTTCTTCTCAATAACTCTATAACTAGAGAAGTTATGATTGAAAAATATGAAATTTCAAAATAAATCCTCTAAGTTTGCCTGGATTTACTTAAGGCAGTGTTACTCTGCTTATGATGGAGAGTTCATACTGCCCAACACCAATTCAAATCCTGATTCACTAATGCATCCTCCAACCTGAATACTCATGTTTCTTCAGATTTGAATTGGTGATTCAGGATTTGAACCAGCAGAACGTAGTCAAGCGACCTCAGATTTTTGGTCTTCTCAATAGCTCTTCAGAAAGATGAATGAAACTGCTGATGTTTAAAACCAATGTGAAATTTACTTTAAATGGAGCTGGAACAATAATCTTTATATACCTGTTCCAGCAGAGTTAGCTCCTCTTCGCTGCCTAAACACATATTCAATTTAAAACTAAACATTTAGAGAAACAATTTTGGTTAATTTGTTAAAACTGTAAATAAGGTATATTTTCCTGATCTCTGGGTTAGTTCCTTGTCCTTCCACACTCTGCTCCTCTGCTAGTATTTCTAGCTGGCCCTCCTGTTGATAGAGATGGGCATGTTCGACTTTTTTCATTTCGTTCGTTCATTGTTCATTTTCCATCTATTTCGTTCGTTTTCTCACTAAACGTTCGTTCAGCATGAAACTATTGTTTTTTTAAATGTGTGTTCCAGAAAATCGTTCGTTCAGTAAAAAAAACAATAATTTTTTCAAATCTTTTGGAAACAATTTTCGTTCCGTAAAAACGATCATTATTTCAAGTTCGTTCGAACGATTTTAAATCCTTCGTTTTTTAAGAAAGATAATTTTTTCATTTTCTGAACGATCAATTTAGTTTTTTTCTGTTCAAACCCCTTTTTCACAAAAAATTTTGTTCTTTCACAAAAGTTTCGTTCATTTAAAAAAACTATGCCCATCTCTACCGCTTCGGATGTTCGTGTAGGTCGCTGTCTTGCTGTTAAACTGGGTTCTTGGACACTACCAGACACCACATTTCTTGCCTTTAACGGGCGAACAGCTGGCTCCACTTCAGCTGGTCCGGATCGCATGATATTTGATGGCCGTCTCTCATATCCGGAAGAGCCCATTTCCCGAAATGTTCTAGACGAGGGATCAGTATTAAAACTTGATGCTCGCCTGTTCACAGGTTCTTCCCATTGTTGGCTTGGGGATGAATCTCTCCCTTCCTTTCTCTGCTGAGGAAAAATTCCGTAGCTAAAAGGCCGTAAGTCTTCATTGCGCAATGCAGTTGAGTACTTCTGACTTGTACGTCTTGGTGGACTACTGCTTCCACCTTGACTATATTCTGATCTCTCCTTATTTGAAGTTCTTCTCCCATCATGTTGGGATGATCTGTATTCTAAGGAATCTCTATCTTTAGCTCTATAACCTGACATACTTCTGAAATTTGAAGTTCGTCTAATTCCCTTTTACGGTTAGAGAATAAGAACTGTTCTGCAGTTGTTACAGTGCAGTTATGTTCATAACTATTCAGCCGACATATGTGGGCCAGCCGATATAGTGGTTATTGATAAAATTGATTCTTAGGGACATAAACACTTAGACAACTTACTATATAAACAGACAGTCACATATGTTAAAGCCAATTGGGCATGGGCTATGCCAAGTACTTTTGCCTGTGCCCTCAGTCGAAGATTTATCTAAATATTGCAAGATACAACTGAGATGGAAAGTAGATATACCCTACACTGCCAGTGAAATTTAAATGCAAATAAGTAATAGACTTTTAATACGCAATTAACAGTGGTCTAGAGAATGCAAAATGCAGTTCATTGTGCAGTGTGCAATGCAATTTCCATCAGACATGTCTGTATACTTTTGTAACTTCTTAACATTTTTGCACCGTCTCGCGTAACGTTTCACAGTATCCTTTAAACCTTTTGTAATAAATATAGAATTAGCCTATAATTCATGTGTCTTGTTGTTAACCATTAATTTTAAGACCTCTGCAAAATGTCGTCTTCAACTTGAATCTCCTCTCGGAGACAGCCAAACCAAATTTTCAGCCCACAATTCCCTTTGTACTCCACCCCACCCCACAATTCCCTTTGTACTCCTCGTTATTGTGAAATCATTAAAATTAAGCAAAATATTCTCATAAGAAGCATTAGTGAATTTCGTTAAATATCCAACTGTAATTTTTCAGAAGTTAAAAAAACGTATTTCAATACTGATCAACAATAAGTCACCCCCGACCACACCTAAATAATTCGTAAGATTTTTTCTACTATTAATATTCATTATAACATTGTACAAGTAACCATGACCTATAATTTATGTTATTTTTAGGAAATAAAGATTTTGTTATCGAATTTCTGAGACGGGGTTACTCTGTTGTGTGTATTTGTGCGGCCTATCGGGAAAGAATTGTCCGGGGAAAATAAACATCCCCCACCAGAATCCTAACTGGCCTATTATCGTGATTTATCTAGCGTGTTGCTGTTTTCCGTCAACACTTGTATATATAACTATGTTCTTTAATTTTCTAAGCAGACCTATTGGTCAATATATTTCACCTGTACTATTAAACCCAAAATATAGAGTTTTTTTTAAACAATTACTTAAAGTACAAGTACCCAAGATTAAATCCTGTAAAAAGGACAGAGTTTGCTCTAAAAGTACATCCCGATCGTTAGTGCTATGGTCGGCACCTCCCGGCTTATCATGGCTTAACAACTGGCTTAATCAAAGAGACACTCAGAAAGCTTTCAATACTTTCCTAAAATGATCATCCTAGGTTTCACGTGTCTCGTACTTCATATGGAATATATAATTTGAGAAAAACCAAAATTCAAAATATAAAATATAAAAAAGACAATAATAAACAAACAATTTTGTAAAAATTAAGTTATAAATGAGCCAGTGCTTTGCCATGTGCCAGGAAACACCTGGAAACTCAATATTTATCAAATTTTCGATTGCTTCCAGATGGGTAAAAAATACATCATGACTGGTTGAAACAGATCCACCTATACAAATTGCATTAGTTTTTTTTTCCAAAGTACAAAGCTTTGTGTGTCGATAAATATATACTTGAGAATACAGAGATAGTTGTATCTGGATTGATCATTACTTGAGAATAAAGAGGGTAGTATCTGGATTAATACATAACTGAGAATACAGAGGGTTGTATCTGGATTGATACAGATTTAAAACACTATTGGAGTGAGGCATTTGTTACCGGCAAGGATGACGGACTTATGCTGATTCTCTACAGAAACTCTTGTAATTGTTGACTTTTAAAATCTGTTATATATTTCAGAAAAAAAATTTATATTCTAGAAGTCGCGGTTAATGCATATTTTCATTTTAATTTCTAGATATAAAACATTTAAAGAAATATATAAGTCGCTAGCGTAACTTTAGTTTTTCGGCAAATTGTACATTAATTTATAGATAAACACATTGAGTTCTCTCTCACTTGATGATCAATCAAAGGTTTACAGAATACCGTTGTAATCAGCCACTTCCCCTTTTTGCATAAAGGGCCATTTAATATTACGCGTATATTCCCTTTGATGGCGAACTCAAACTCAAATCTGATTTTCAAATTCGCATATTTTTGCATACAGATATTATTTCAACCTAGGCTAGTTTATCTAGAAAAATCTACGAAATCTATATAACTATAAATACTAGGCTAAGTTTAATGATGCGTTTATGGGACTAATTAGTCATTTAGCCCTTTAAGACATCTTTAAGAGGAAATACCGTCGTAGGATAGGATATCAATTGTATTTTCAAATTAGTGAGTAATCCCTTTTAAAGTCGTCTTTGCATTGTTATAATTATATCAAACCTTGTATAGATTTATGCACATAATAATTGTATTCATTATATTAAGTGCAAACATTGCAATATGTTTATTTGAACACTGAACAACGAAAACTAAAGCAGTGCAGGGAGATAAGACTTATCAGTGAAAAGGTTTTGTTATTTACAGAGTTAATAACTTTTACCCTCAAATCAATAATAAATCAGTCGTTGATTATTAAGTTTATCTCTCTAATAAAGCATTTTGCTCATATATATATATTGAGTCACGGAAGTTCGTAGTAAGATTTCGATTCTACTGCAGACCACCGGAGGGATTTTAGTTTCACTGGAGGGGTTTGAAAAAATGCTTTTTACAATTTAAAACTTTACGCAGGGTGATTTACATTCCACTGGAGGGATTCAGATATCCTTCCTGGGGGGTTATAATTCCACTGGAGGGATTCAGTTATCCTTCCTTTTTAATTATAATTCCACTGGAGGGATTCAGTTATCCTTCCT